ATTAAATTAAATTTATTTGTATGTTTAATCTCACAATTATAAGATTATATTTCAATCTGCCAAAGAAAGAAATAATAAAACTTTTTTTAATTTCGAGAATTTATTTAAAATATATTATTTATACATAAATTTATGTCATATGTGAATTTATATTCTCTGTTCATATTTTATTAAAAATCAAAATTTGAACCAAATTCAATAGTGAAGGTCGGAGGAGTTGAATAATTTGGATATAAAATTCAACAATTTTGACTTCAAACAAACATAATATTTTATTTTCTTGAAGATATGAAACAAAATAAAACAAAAATTTCACCTTTAACCCAAATCAAATTTACCTTTTTTTAATTTTTACTCTAATGAAGTGGGATTGTTTGTTAATTCTTATGAACTAAAAGTAGAAAAATAGTAATTCCAGTACGTAATATTTTTTGCAATTACTAGAATAATTAGCATACGATTAGATTAAATTAAATTAAATTTCGAATTTGGTCAGACCATAGGATACCCTCTTTTGAAATTGAGTCATACGACTTTAATCTCTAATTAGAAATTGCATTAATTAATATTTGATGTTTTCAGTGAGTAAAATTGAAGTCATGCCATGCTTATTAGCTAGCAATTCATAAAATTTGGTAACCTCAATTTAATTACACCTGGCCCCATCTGCTTATCCTAATTAGGAGGCTAATTAAAGAGCTTATTCACTTAATGCTCTGAGAAAATTCTCTTTCCTTTTCCAAATTTTAGAATGAATTTACAATTTTACCCATTTATTTTTATTTTATTAGTTTAACTAGTAGTTGATCATTATTACGTCATCGTTGCTAACAATTAGAGATTAAATTACTCTTTTGTTACATGTTAAATTGTTTAATTGCAATAACCTATACTTCAAAACATTTTATTTAAATTTTAAATTAAGATCATACTATTGACGATGTCAAGGCATTTAAATAATAGCGTAGTAGACGAGAATTGCAATAAGCTAAAGATGTAGCATTTAAAATTACTTAAAACTGCGAGGACCATAAAATAAAAGTTCTTCAAAAGGTGTACTTTTTTTTTTTTTTCTCTAAGAATCATCCGTAAATAATTCCACAGTAAAATTAGTTTAATAATGTGGGAAATATATTCTATTTTTTTTTTTTTTTGTTTTTGACATTTTCAAGGATCCTAATCAAGAATTAAAAATATGATTGAGTAAAAAATTAGTGAAAATATTTTAAATAACAATAATTTAATGGAAATATGTAGCCATTTGGGATAAGAAAGAGACAGAGAAAAAACAGTAGATCAATTTAGGATGTGGCAGAGTTTAAATCTGCATTAAAAGCAGTGGGATCAGAGAGTAATTGGGCAATAACTAGGAGGAGGATTATTATTATTATTATTATTATTAAAGAGAACCCATTTAATAGTTTCATTAAAAAAAAAAATACTAAATTAATTTGTAGAACCCAATTCATTACAATGATAATTAAGAGAACCCACTTAATAATTTTATTAAAAAAATTCAAATTTAACATAAATATTAATTACCCAATTCATTTTAATGAAAATTAAGAGGACCCACTTAATAATTTTATTAAAAAATTAAAATTTAAATACTAATTTGATTTATCATATGCCTATCTAATCAAACAGTCAATCAGAGATCAGAGCGAGGGGGGGGTCCATTGATGTCTCTATTTGTCTTATGTAAATTCCGCCAAGTGTTCTCTTAATCTCACAATTAATCACGTAGGCCTTCTTGTGGTCCCTTTTATAATTATAATAATTTTTTCTTCTTTTTTTTTTCAAAAACCAAAAAAAAAAAAAATTAAAAATTAAAAAGAAAAAGAGAAGAATTCATGAGGATTGTTATGTGGACACGAATCCAATTTGATGTGTTTCATTAATCACTTATTATTATTATTATTGTTGGTGGTATGTATTTAAACACCATAAATCTATTTATTTTATTAATTATTATTGTTATTGGTGAGCATTTAAATTTATTTATTGTATTATCAAGTGATGGGTACAACTTTAAGTTCATATATAAGAGGTTGTTTCGTATTAATTTGATCAAAGAATTTGAAATTACATTATATTCGATCGTTATTTGTGGAAAATTTTTCTACTATGGTGGTCTCAGATAATATTTTTATTAATATATATAAAGTGATTAGAAATTAACTTATGTTATTGAAAAATTAAAAAAAAAAAAAATTTTAAACGAGAATAAGATTGACGGTAAATCTTAGTACCATTGTCTTGATATGTTTAGCATGACATAATTAATATTTGAAAACGTTTTAGGGTTTATGCAATATAATAAACTAAGAAAATAAATTAATATGCAATGCAAGAAAATTTAATAATTATGTATACCGAGAAAAGGTCAATTGCCTATCGATATAACTCAAATATATGGAACAAAGATCCACAAAATTTCAATAAAGAAAAGATTTTTTATTATAATAGTATTATAATTTTTTTAAACTATCACCTTAATTTTTTAAAAAATATAAATATTTTGTTTCATACAATACTAGAACATCTAACTTTTAGACTTAACTACGAAGAGATTTAATAAGATAAAAATACAAAATATTTCATGAAGGGATAGTGAACTAGAGAGATATTGTGATATATATATATATGTATATATATACACACACGTATATAGATATAGGAATACATATATATGTTTGAATTATAAGGGCTAGGGCCCTTTTTGAGTTGGTAAAAGTTGTGTGTGAGATATTATTGATGGAAATTACCAAATATATGTGATTCCTTGGAATTCATAATTCATGCATGTGTTTGGTTAAGATGTGTAGATTGTTAAAAGTATTTTATTACTTTAGTTGGTTCACAAAATTTATAATTTTTACTATTAATTTTCACCGAAATTCTTTATTTGCAAGCATATTTTTAATACTAAAAATTAATAATTATATATATATGTATGTATATATGTACATATGAATGAAATTTGTGGAAGTACTAGTTCACTAAGGGTAGATGCTACATCTAGATATCAAGAATTCTTTAATTAATATGCATATAATTACCCATATTAAAAAAAAAAAAACACACTTATTAGTAAATAATCTTTGAAAAAGAATATCCGAAATTAAATTGTTATTATTTTAATATAAAAGATAAAGATTAGTAATGAAATTAATAAAAATTAAGGAACAAAAAATAAGTCCGTAGAATATAATAAATTATTAAATCATTAATTAATAACATAAATAATAATTCATTCAATACTAATCCATAGTCAACAATTTCTATATTCATATGTAAAATTTTGATTTGTTAGGTTTGTAGTAAAGTCAATATAATCTTCTAAGTTTTATGGTCATTGTTCACTTTTTTAAAATTATATATACATTTACCACAAATATAATATTTTAATACTACCTAAACTTTTCTTAACACTTCATTTAAAAATTATGTACACGAATAAATATATATAACTTGCTTATTTATAAATATATTATGAATTCGTATAAGTTATTTAAGTTGAATTCAATTAATAAATTAATTTATTAATATATTAATAGAACTGGAACGATTAAATAATTTTTTTTTAACGAATTATTTTATTTTGACAAAATAAACATTATATATTTTTTATTTTTTGAAAAAATTATGTATATATATATATATATAGGTACATTCACACACACACACACACACACACACACGTGTATATATATATATATATATATATATATATAGAGAGAGAGAGAGAGGGATGATATGCATATCTGTAAAGGTGTATGATGCAGCAGGGAATCAAAGCTCTCCTAATTACATCTTGTGAAGATTTGTAATAGTAGGCATGAGATGAACTTCTTCTACACCGAAAGGTCAACAAAGATCACATGTTTCCCTCTTCCTTTTCTTTTCTTTTTTTTTTTTACCCTCATTTGTCTGCAAGACTTTCGTGACAACATCCTCTTATTTACTTATTTCTATATATATATACATATATAAGACTCTCTTCCTCCATTTTACTTCTTGCTTTTTAAGTAATCACCACATATATATATATATATATAATTACTCTAATTTTAATTACACCCGGGACTTAAACTTGCAATTATTTTATCATATATCTTGCAAGTTAATTTCATCTAATCCAACCCGATATTCTAAATGCTTTTAATTTCGACGGATTACTTATAAACAAGTTCATAATAAATATATGATTTCGATCGCAAGGTAAAAGAATTAACCTAACTTGTAACCTTATTTTTTTTTATAGATTATTATTACTAGTGTTGGTAGATCGAATAAAAGCCAATTACCTAACTATATATATATATATACTTGATTAAATATAATTAATTTTGACAATAATTGAAGTTTTTTTTTCTTTTTGGGTGTTAAAATCTTTCATTTGGGTATTAAGGGTTTGTGTTCATGAACTTTTTTAGAAAAAAAAAAAAAAAAAATTCATGGACCAAAAAACTTATGGACTTGAATGTTATACTTCACACCTTATTTTCCTTTGGAGTTTAATTATAGAAGAATTTATAAAAAAAAAACAAAAAAACAAAATGAAAGAAGATTATGATTTAGCCACATCAGTACATATAGCTCCTAATAAATGTATGGATCATCTCTTCCATATGCTTCTCAAGTGTGGGCTCACACCATATTAATTATGTAATTAATGTAATATAATATAAATATATATATCTTTATTGATTTAATTATTGCATGTGTACATAGCAGGAGAGTTAATTTTTTTATGATTGTACTATTACCCACATATATATATATATATATATGGCAATTTATTTTTTATATTTATACTCAATTAAATTAGTGGGAAAAAATTTAGAGGTTAATACTTTATTAATAAGTATTCCTTAATTCATAATTACGGAGGTTAATGACATTGTACAATGAGATCCCAGTTTTTTCAGAATCCCAACTGATCTAAGATTAGAACCCTAGCTAGGGAAATCATGCACATAACTTTTTTTTTTTTTTTTTTTTTTTTCTTATTGATTATGATCCCAGATGATTAAAAATTAAAAAAAGGAAAAAGAAATTAAGAAGAGAAAATCAGAATATTGGAGGGAGTTGCATAATTTCTTCGACTTGAGCAGTACTTGTTTCCTCTAGCAGCCATTTCTCAAGAAACGATAATGGAGGATTATTGTGATCGGAGATGATCTGCTTCCTGTCTGGTGAAGAAGACGACGTCGTATTACCCTTTTCGTCTTCATTACCAGAACCCTTTGTAGTAGAATCACTTGTACACTTGTTATAATCCCATGCAACAACATTGTTCATATGATGATGATGATGATCAAATGATAAAATGGTCTGAAACTCCTCCTGATCATCAGAAATCAAATTACCACCTTCTTCTTCCTCCTCTTGTTTTGCCCTTCCGCCATTGTTGATACTGGTTTTGAGCTTGGGAGAAGCCCTCATCCAACCTTCCAGGAGACGTGAGATATTCTCCGTGCTTGAAGCGTATGTTGCAGTGGATGAATTCTGGTTATTGTTATTATTAGAATCCAGCAGAACAAGCCTTGTATTTGTTGAAGAAGCTGGTCGGCTTGAGGTGAAATCCAGATTGAAGCTCTTCCCCACGAACTGATTATGATTCTGATTAGTTTGTGTGGCAGCCATTTGAGCCTCTGAAGCTGCTTGAAACTTATTTAGCTTCTTCTTCAAGTGAGTGTTCCAGTAGTTCTTGATATCATTATCTGTTCTTTGTGGAAGGTAAGAAGCAATGGCTGCCCACCTGTAATTAAATTTCAGACAGTGATGAATATTAATACCAGAAATTTTTTATCAGAAATTTTAGAAATGAGAAAAAAATTGAGATATTTAGGAGATTACTTGTTACCCAATAAAGCTTGCAAATGAATAATCATCCCTTCTTCATGAGCAGTAAAGTTTCCACGTTTGATTCCTGGTCGAAGGTAATTCGTCCATCTAAGTCTGCAACTTTTGCTGCATCTCAATAATCCTTAATTTCATCCAAACAAGAAAAAAAACTATGTTAATTAATTAAAATCTCACAAACCCTTTTCTTAAATTCAAACAACTCAACAACCCTTTTCTTGAATTTCAAGAACTAAACAAGTAACATATACATACATACATATATATATATATATAGATATACCAGTGTTAGTGGGAACTGATCTCCAATTTCCAGGACCATGTTCTTGAATATAAGAGACCAAGATGATATCTTCCTCAGGAGTCCATGGACCTTTCTTGATTCCAACTTTATCGCAGCAAGGAGGTCTGCCCATGGCTTGATATGTTTTGTTAATTGTGATGATTCAGGAGTTTGTGAGTTTTGGAGTGTATGTAGGTATGTATGTATGTATGTATGGAGCTTTCAAGGGAGTACTGTAACCATGTGAGCCTTTATATACAAGGTGACTTTAAGAGAAGGGAAGCTTTTTAACATTTGATATCTACCATGCTGACTCACTGCCCTTTCATTAACTATGCTCTTCATTATAGTCAATCTCTCTTAACATATACATAAATAAATATATATATATATATATATATATTTATGTGTAAGAGAAAAGAAGTCGGAAGAGAAGGGAAGCTGGAATGTGTGTGTGTGTATGTGTATATACACACATCTTTTGTCACATGAGATTGCTACTTAGCTCATGCCTTTTTGGTTTGCATATTATATTATTTTCTCTTTTCATTCACTTTATTTCTAAGTACTTGATAAGCTTATAAATAGCAAATAACATATAGACAGAAAAAGGCGACAAAAATATATTATCAAACAAATTAAAAAGAAAAAGAAAACCAAAAGCTATCAGAGCACGGGTCAAAACTGTGCGATGCCAAGTTATAAGCAACTCATTTTTTTTTTTTACATATTTGAGATTTTATCTTAATTAATACCAGTGCATTATATATATATATATACACACACACACACACTTCAATTTTGTGTTTATTTGAGTTTTATCTTGATTAATGAATACCCATTTTATATTTGCATGGTGTGTGTGTGTGTATATATATATATATGTGTGTGTGTGTGTTTATCTATCTACTATTTAATATAGAAGGAGATAGATCCATGCAATTTTAAAATTTTTTATAAAAAAAAAAAAAAGACTAGTATGTATTTTTATTGGTATTGAAAAGAGACCGACAAATCACCACTTCTATTTGTTGTTTTTCCTTTTTAAAATGTGAAATATTTCAACAGTCATTAAATTCAGAAAAGGATAGTTGAAGTATTTCAAAGAGTCGCCCTGGCTCATCTTTGGTTCAATTAATCTCCACAAATTTCTAGTTTTATTTTTTATTTTATCAATAATTGGTTAGTTTAATGTTTGATACGCTTATTCTTATAAGAGTTTATAGGATCAATCGGGTTGTACTTTTATATGTGTCAATATTTAAAATTTATTTTGTAATTATTATATATCTATTACCTAACTAATAAATGCAATACCCGCAATTATTTTTTTTTAAAAAATTAAAAATTAATGTATAAAATATAATTTTTTAATTTATAAATTTTTATTTAATGTAAAAATTAAAAAAAAAATAGGTGGATGATGAAATTAAAAATAATTTTGAGAAAAATGTGTGAAAATTTGGGTTCTATGAGTGTTTTTGAAAGAAAAATAAAAAACTATGAGTTAAAACGTAATTTAAAAAAAATGTACCACGTAGAACTGCCAGTACAGTCCTCTTATCTCTTCTCTCCTCTCCATCAGACATCATATTGCATTTAATACTGAAAAATAGATCAAACAACAACTGACCAATAATGTACCAGATTCGGACTCCATTGGCAACCTCAATCAATTATACATCTATAAAGTCTCAAAATGTCGTTTGATTATTTATTAAGCTTTAATACCGTGATAAGAAATAGGGTGAAGGGCCCTTACTTGTTTCAGGGTCTGAAATTTGCTCTACAATGCGTCTACGGGCTGTCCCTAATTTTCCTGAATAAAAACTGAAACGCACTACTGGTACTTGCACGTGTCCCAAAAAATCCCAAATCAGACCTATGGCCCCTTTCGGCCAATATTAGAATTCCGGCACGGTGGCTCTACCGTGCTCCGGTGACGCCGCCGCCGCCTGCGGCGGCGATCTGCCACTGGTTGGTCGTTTTCGGCCAAATTCGGCCAAACTTGCATTGGTCCCTACGATAAAACAACCCTAGGGCCCTCGGTGGGCCAAAAAATCACGAAAAACCGAGACTTACCGGCGGCGGTGCTCTCGGTTGCGGCGGCTCCTCCGACGTGAGTCACGTTTTGAAGTTTGACTCCGATCAACTTGTAGAGAAAAGAACGGTGATCACAGTAGTATAAAATTTGCATCGAACGGAGGCCGGGAAGGGCCTCATCGGAGGCAAAATCATAGGGGAGTTGCGGCGGCGGCGCCGGACTTCGGCGGGGTTTTTCGGCTGATTGGCTTGTGGTTTGGCTCTGGTTTGGCCATAGGCGGATTCAACATCAAAAAACGAGCCAGGGGGAGAAAATTTACCTCGATTGGCGGTCAAAAAATTCTCCAGTGCGGCGTCGGGTGGCGGCGGCCGGCTCCTCCGGCGTCTGGTTCTTCTTCTCCGGCGAGGCACTGGCGGCTAGGGTTTTGTGGTCAGGTGTGGGTGGGGTTATTTATACCCTTTGCCTTTTAATCTCAACTGTCCATCAAGATTAAATCTGGACCGTCCGATCGCAATTTAATTGAGATTAAATCTGGACCGTCCATCGCGATGCGATATGGGCCGTCCTGATTGAATTTGGGTCGTCCGTATGCGTGAAATCTGGGCCGTCTGTGCGCGCGGGAACGGATCTGGGCCGTCTGATCGCGCGCATGCGGATAGCCCACGTGGCCCGTCCCGTGTCAGCGTTTTCTTACCACGCGGCATGTCCTGGTTAGCCGGGGCTACTGACCGAGTTGCTGACGTGGCTGCTGACGTGGCATAACTTTTTAAATTGCGTTTTGACCCCTGGTTTTCGATTTTCTTTTCAAAAATACCCCCAAAATCTAAATTTTCACCCCTTTTTTCCAAAATCAATTTAAATTAAATCCAAATAATAATTTTACCCAATTTTATCATTATCATTATTTTATTTTCATTAAATTAAATTAAATTAAATTAAAATCTAAAAAATTCAAATACAAAAAAATAAAAAATAAAAATAATACAAAAAATATAACTTGGGTGTTACAACTCTCATCCATTAAGGAAATTTAGTCTCCCAAATTTGTCTCTCACTCTTGGTCGAACAAATGGGGATATTGGGCTCTAAAATCTGATTCTAGCTCCCATGTAGCCTCCCTAGGCGTGTGGTTCTGCCACACGACCTTTACAAATGATATTTCCCGGTTGCAGAGTATCCTGCTCTTTCGATCTGTGATACCGACTGATACTTCTTCATAAGACAAGTCCTCTTGGAGTGGAAGCGGTTCATGAGCCAAGACATGAGAAGGGTCCGG